CTACTACTACTACTACTACTACTACTACTACTACTACTACTACTACTACTACTACTACGACTACTACGACTACTTCGACTACTTCGACTACTACGACTACTACGACTACGACTACGACTACGACTACGACTACTACTACTACTACTACTACTACTCCTACTACTACTACTACTACTACTACTACTACTACTACTACTACTACTACTACTACTAATACTACTACAACTACTACCACTTCTACTACTACTACTAGTACTACTACTACTACTACTACTACTACTACTGCTACTACTGCTACTACTACTACTACTACTACTACCGCTACTGCTACAACTACGACGATGAGGAGAAGGAGGATGACGGCGTTTACCGCTCCTACTAATGTTGCTTTCCTAGATGTTCCAACTCCTAGGTAGGGTCGCACTGGGATAATTCTTAGTTTTGTTGTTCGTTCTGGTGCTCGTTCTGTTGTTCGCTTCTGTTGTTCGTCTTGCTCTTCGTTGCTCGTTCTGTGACTCGTTCTGTTGTTGTTGGCTTTCTTTTTCGTTTTTTGAACCCTGTACCTCCCTGCCAAGACGAAAAACATTATGCTAACGGAGTTCCCCACATAATTCCCCACATCCTGAGTGGGGTTCTTGTTTTCCCAGAACACCCTCTCCTTCTCCTCCTCCTCCCGCGTCCTTCTCCTAAACCATACCATACCAAGCCATACCATACCAATACCTTACCATACCAATACCATACCAAGCCATACCAAGCCATACCATATCAATACCATACCATACCATACCAATACCATACCATACCCATACCAAACCAATAACATCCCAAGCCATACCAAGCCATACCATACCAATACCATACCATACCAATACCATACCAAACCACGAACAGAACAGAACAGCAACCAATACCATACCAATACCATACCAAATCATACCAAGCCATACCATACCAAGCCAATACCATACCAATAACATACCACATCATACCAAGCCAAACCATACCAAACCAATACCAATACCATGCAACACGTTGTTATTTATCAGGTTTCCTGCCCCTCACACCCCTCCGTGCCCCTCCCACCCCTCCGGAGGACGCTATTCGAAAACCCTCCAGGGAGGCCCCGCCTGAGCGAGGAGGGTATTCGAATCACCTGTTATTTATCAGGTTTCGTGCCCCTCCCACCCCTCCAGGGAGGCCCCGCCTGAGCGAGGAGGGTATTCGCATCACCTGTTATTTATCAGGTTTCGTGCCCCTCCCACCCCTCCAGGGAGGCCCCGCCTGAGCGAGGAGGGTATTCGCATCACCTGTTATTTATCAGGTTTCGTGCCCCTCCCACCCCTCCAGGGAGGCCCCGCCTGAGCGAGGAGGGTATTCGCATCACCTGTTATTTATCAGGTTTCGTGCCCCTCCCACCCCTCCAGGGAGGCCCCGCCTGAGCGAGGAGGGTATTCGCATCACCTGTTATTTCTCAGGTTTCGTGCCCCTCCCACCCCTCCAGGGAGGCCCCGCCTGAGCGAGGAGGGTATTCGCATCACCTGTTATTTATCAGGTTTCGTGCCCCTCCCACCCCTCCAGGGAGGCCCCGCCTGAGCGAGGAGGGTATTCGCAAACCATGTGATAGAAAAGGATGGAGAGGGCGAGGGCAGGTCGGCAATTTCTCTACAAAATGTTGCTTGATCCCGCTAGCCCAAAAACATCATTATGTGGGGAACTCCGTTAGCATAATGATGTTTTTGGGCTAGCGGGATCAAGCAACATTTTGTAGAGAAATTGCCGACCTGCCCTCGCCCTCTCCATCCTTTTCTATCACATGGTTTGCGAATACCCTCCTCGCTCATGCGGGGCCTCCCTGGAGGGGTGGGACGGGCACGAAACCTGATAAATAGCACTGTTCGCGAATACCCTCCTCGCTCAGGCGGGGCCTCCCTGGAGGGGTGGGAGGGGCACGAAACCTGATAAATAACATGCGAATACCCTCCTCGCTCAGGCGGGGCCTCCCTGGAGGGGTGGGAGGGGCACGAAACCTGTAAATAACATGTGCGAACCCTCCTCGCTCAGGCGGGGCCTCCCTGGAGGGGTGGGAGGGGCACGAAACCCACGAAATCACGTAACCCGAATACCCTCCTCGCTCAGGCGGGGCCTCCCTGGAGGGGTGGGAGGGGCACGAAACCTGATAAATAACAGGTGATGCGAATACCCTCCTCGCTCAGGCGGGGCCTCCCTGGAGGGGTGGGAGGGGCACGAAACCTGATAAATAACAGGTGATGCGAATACCCTCCTCGCTCAGGCGGGGCCTCCCTGGAGGGGTGGGAGGGGCACGAAACCTGATAAATAACAGGTGATGCGAATACCCTCCTCGCTCAGGCGGGGCCTCCCTGGAGGGGTGGGAGGGGCACGAAACCTGAGAAATAACAGGTGATGCGAATACCCTCCTCGCTCAGGCGGGGCCTCCCTGGAGGGGTGGGAGGGGCAGGTATGGTATGGCTTGGTATGATTTGGTATGGTATTGTTATGGTATTGGTTGCTGTTCTGTTCTGTTCGTGGTTTGGTATGGTATTGGTATGGTATGGTATTGGTATGGTATGGCTTGGTATGGCTTGGGATGTTATTGGTTTGGTATGGTATGGTATGGTATGGTATTGGTATGGTATGGTATGGTATTGATATGGTATGGCTTGGTATGGCTTGGTATGGTATTGGTATGGTAAGGTATTGGTATGGTATGGCTTGGTATGGTATGGTTTAGGAGAAGGACGCGGGAGGAGGAGGAGAAGGAGAGGGTGTTCTGGGAAAACAAGAACCCCACTCAGGATGTGGGGAAAAACACAGCCGAAGTCCAGCAAAAAAGTGTGCAGGTCCAGCCCTGGCCCCCAAACCTGGGTCAGCCCGACGGCATTGGCCGACCACTGCTGGCGCTGACCCCCGTGCCCGGGCCCCCGACGTCATGCTTTTTGCATGACGTCGACCCCCAGGAGTCTCGACCCCTTCCCCGGGACCCGTTTTCGATCCCGAGTCGTTCTTTCACGGCCCCGAAGCTTGGGAAGGGTCCCCAGACACCGAAAATAGAGAAACACCTTCCGCCGTGATATTCTGGCCATCGCTCGGACGTCCAGTCCCTGTGTTTTTTTCGGTTTCGTGCGTGTTTTTTTCGCCAAATGATCAATGATGCTCATCGATGGTCCTCGCCGAAAGAAAAATGCCCACGTCCGAGCGATGCCAAGTATTTTCATGACCCGAGGGGGCCTGGGCTGCGTGAGCCCCGGCGCTCGGCCGGTGCTCCGCGCCGAGGAGAGAAAACCGCTCCGGCATCTCGGCCGCGATCGAGCCGTCGGACCCAGGACCAGGACAGCACACTACGTTATGTCAGCCAGCGTGGGCCCCAGAGAGATGTTTTTGTTCTTCTGTTTGGGGTGCGGTCCATGTGGCGTAACGTATGCGATGCGGCCAATGTAAGGCAACATGCGCGGTGCGGTCTATGTGGCACGGGGCGGCAATGGGGCGGCACGGGGGCGGCACGGGGGGCGAACAGCCGGCAGGCATGGCCATATGGCCACACTGGAAATGGAGGGCAAATTGACGCCTTCGGGTTGGGTTGGGGTGGTTTGGTGGGTGGTGACTCACGCAATTTGTGCTCCCAGCGCCCGCCGGCACCAGAGGCGCCAGTGTATCGAGGAATGCCCCTGGCGGCGGGGCTGAAACCTACACCATGCAGCAGACTTCGTACCGCGTGTTCGTGCCGCGTCGATCCCACTTGTGGTGCCCGACGCCATGGGGATCCTTGCGTGATCCGACGTTTCCGAAACGTCGGATCGTTCAACATCTACCGACACTGGGTCGCTAGCGGCGTTCAACCTCGAACGCCGGCGGCGGGGTCGCCGCTGGTCGACACGACGCGGACCTACCGCAGCTGTATATATAGATATGTGTGTGTGGACACTGGGTCGCTAGCGGCGTTCAACCTCGAACGCCGGCGGCGGCGTCGCCGCCGGTCGACACGACGCGGACCTGCCGCAGCTGCTGCTTCCAGCGCCAGCCGTCACCAGAGGCGCGCCAGCGTATGGAGGAAGGCGCCCGCCGGCGGAGCCGAAACCAGCTGCACGCAGCAGACTTCGCCCCTCCCCCCCCCCCACACCCTTTTCCCTGCAGTCGGGGAACGCTGAAATAGGGAACGCCGGCCAAGGCGGCTGCTGAAATAGGGCACGCCAGGCCAAGAACGAAGCGCCTCTCTGCAGATTTCGCCAGGACAGCTGCAGATTGCGCCCAGTCGGGCTGCTGAAAAAAGGAACGCCAGGCCAAGAACGAAACGCCCCTCTGGCACGGACACGCCCCGGGTGCACGAGAGAGGAGGCCCACAGAGGAGCAGCCAAGGAACAAAACGCAAGCCCGCAGCAGTCCTCGCTTAAGCGTCCTTCTATTGGGGAACGAAGCAACGACACAGACTTGAAGACCCGGCGGCCCGCGTGGATTTCTCAGGTCGGCGCTCAGACCCCCCCCCCTCCTTGGAGACCGAGCGTGAATAGGAGGAGGGAAGGAGTAATAGGAGGAGGAGGAGGAGGAGGAGGAGGAGGAGGAGAGGGAGGAGGAGGAGGAGGAGGAGGCGGAGGAGGAGGGCGGAGCGCGCCAGGGGCGGCCCTGGAGGCGCCGCCACGGGGGCCCCCTGCGCCGATATCCGAGGCATCCGCGCGGATGCCTCCAGATGGATGTCTGTGGCAGTGCTTTGTTCCCCTCGGCGGTCGACCCGTACAGGAAGGGTGCGCGGCCAGGGATGCACGGGCCTTGGACGCCCATGTCGAAGCCTCTCGAGCGCGGCGCGGCCAGTGAGAGTGGCCAAGAGCGGGCCGAGGAGGCCAGGATGCAACGGGTGCCCTTGGGAAGGTTGCCCCTCCTTGCGATGCGGCTCGACTGTGTAGCCCCCTTTCGTCCGACCCGATGCTCGAAACTCGACCTTTGGAGGCTCGAGGAGAGGTGGAGGTCAGGCTGGGCGTCCCAAGCTCCGCAACGCGCGGCTTCAGGTCGTCGCCCAGCACGGCGCGGTGCTCCACCAGCTGGCTGGCCAGGAACCAGTAGTAGGCCTCGCGGCCAGGCGACGGCGTTTTTTGCTGGGGGGGTCATCTTTGGGGTCGTTTCTGGGGGCTCTCATCGCGAAGGTAAGGCGCGGCACAGAACACTAGCCAAGATGGACCAGGGATCGATTTCGGGCAGATGTTGGTCGGAGGATGAGGAGGATGAGGAGGAGGAGGAGGAGGAGGAGGAGGAGGAGGAGGAGGACGACGACGGCGGGGCCTCACCGCAAACGAGTAGGAGACCGCGGGGAGAGAGGCCCGACCGAAATGAAGGAGCGGCGTGCCGGTGCTCAACGGCAGAGGCTGGAGCACAAGTTTGCCACGACACTTTCTGACCTGAAGGCCCCGCCCAGCTTCCACCCCCCATTTATCAACCCACCCCCCGCCGCACACCAACCCGCCCACAATTCATAGTTCGGAGCCCTGAGGAGCCGCCAGCAGGCATCTACACGCGAAGTCGTAAGGGCAAGAGGTGCGTTCTCTTCGACGCTCTGGCAAGTGAGTCCAGCTCGACTTTTACTGTGGAGGAGATAGAATGCGATGATCATCCTGCGGATGACCGCCGGGCGAGTGCCGTTCGGGGAGGCGTGGTCCTGCTCGGAGCCCAATCCCCACATGATAAAGCGAAGACTCGGGAAAGCGCGGTGCAAGGCGGTGAAATGCGTGAGGAGGAGAAGGAGGAAGGGGCGGAAGGAGGATAATAGGACTAATCGCACAAACAATCAAACTAAAGGTAATGCTAACGATCCGCCACCGTGCCTTCACCACGTTGTGGAGTGCCCCAAGGCTCATGCAGCCCTTAAACCCTGAGAGGCAGAGGGGTAGTAGGGTTCTTGAAGGCCCGGGCCCCCCTTTCCCAGCCGCTCCTGGGAGCTCTTGGGAGCTCCTGGCCGCTCCTGGGAGCTCCCAGGCTCGTGGGAGCTCCTGGGAACTCTTGGAGGCCGGGAACCCTTGAGAGCATCCCAAGAACCGCCTCAGGGGTCAAACGTAGCTTCAAGATGGTCCCATGTGGCTCCGAGACTGTCCAAGTGGCCCACAAGACGCCCCGGGAGAGCCCCACGAGCAACCCCAAGGGAGGCCCAAGAGGTAACATTCGTCCACTACTACAGGACCACTTTCATTTTCAATATATTTGCTTTTTTGGCTTTCACCATGTCCAAGACAGCTCAGGGGGCCCCTAAGACCGCCCCAATATGCCCCTAAGAGGGCCCCAAGACGGCTCAAGAGGGTCCCAAGACGGCCCAAGAGGGCGCCCTAGATGACCCCAAAGGGCCCCAAGAGAGACTACGATTGGGAGTTAGAGCGGAGGTTTAGAACCCTCAGCCCCAAAGGGGCCCCGAGATTGGCAGCAGACCCCCAAGATGCCCCAAGAGGCCTTCAAAGGCCAGGAAGAAACCACAAGATGCCCCCAAACGGCCCCCATGAGGTCCCAAGAAGCTTCAAAACTGCCTCCAATAGGCTCCCAAAGGCCCCTCAAGATACCCCAACAAGTATCCAAGAAGCCTCTGACACACAACCCAGGCACGGTGGCGGGATGGGCCGAAGGCCACTGGATCCGCCGCCCCCTGTCGATTCATGTCAAGGGTGCCTGGCGTGCTAAACCCTCTCGGTTTTGGTTCTTTTTCCAAAAGAACTCACCCTGGGGCTTCGGCCCGTCCCGCCGGCCACCCGGAAAGGAGCTCAATTGCGGATTTTGTCCTCCAAGACGGCTCAAGATGGCCTCCATGACTGCCACGTTGGCCAAAGATGGCCTCCAAGACGGCCTCCGATGGCCTTCAAGTCCGCCCAAGAGAGGAGGAGATGCCTCCAAGTCCGCCCAAGAAAACTCCAAGACGGCCCAAGACTGCCAAAGAGGTGCCCAAGAGGCCTCCAAGACGGCCCGAGAGGCCTCGAAGAGGTTCTCCAGGAGGGCCCGAAAGAGGCCAAACTAATGAATGTTCCTTCGGTTCTTAAAACAGTTTTTCGTATGTGTTCCTTTTCGGCTTTCCGACGACCCAAGACGGCTCAAGAGGCTCCCAAGATCGCCCCCACAGCGCCCAAGAGGCCTCCAAGATGGCCTCAGGACTGCCCAAGAGGCCCCCAAGACGGCCCCAAGAGGGCACAAAGACGACCCAAGAGGCCCCCAAGACGCCCGAGATGGCCTCCAAGACGGCCCTGGAGCACCCCAAGAGGGCCCCAAGTCGGCCCACAGAGGCCCCCTAAATGGCTTCCGACGGCGTCAGACGGGTCAGGAGCCAAGATGGCCGAAGTTGGCTCGAAGCTGGCCCAACACGGCCCAAGAGGCCTCCAAGAGGGCCTCCAGGAAGGCCAGAAAAAGGCCCAAACATTGATTTTCCATAGGTTTTTGAAAGATTTTGACATTTGCTTCTTTTCGGCCTTCTGACGGCCCGAGACGGCCCAAGAGCCCCCAAAGATCGCCCAACGATCCCCAAAAGGCCTCCAAGATGGCCCCAGAACGGCCCAAGCGGACCACAAGACAGCCCCAAGAGGCGGCCCAGGAGGCTTTTTAGACGCCCAAGATGGCCTTCAAGACGGGTCTGGAGCATTCCAAGAGGGCCCTAAGTCGGCCCACTGGGGCCCCCCAAACGGCATCCGACGGCGTCGGACAGGCCAGGAGCCAACCAAAACGGCCGAAGATGGCCCTAAGATGGCCCAAGACGGCCCAAGAGGCTTCCAAGAGGGCCTCTAGGAAGGGCCGAAAAGGCCAAAATCATTGATTTCCCATGAGCTTTTGAAGGATTGTGGCATTTCCTTTGTTTCGGCCTTCCGACGGCTCGAGACGGCCCAAGTGCCCCCAAAGATCGCCCAAGAGGCCCAAGACGGCCCAAGAGGCCTCCAAGACGCTCAAGATGGCCTCCAAGACGGCCCAAGAGCCCTCCAAGACGTCCTCCAAAAGGCCCGAAAGGATCAAAATGGCCTCCACACGGCCAAGATGACCTTCAAGATGCCCACGTGTTCCCCGAAAGCTTTCCAAACCGATTCGGGGAACACATTGTCCGATAGCTTGGCAGGTCTGGCCTCAACGTTCGGCCACATAGACGCTTCCAAAAAGGCAGGGGGCGGCGGTGTTTCGCCGTAGGCGTCTTCGATCCGCCGCCCCCTGTTGGCTTGCCACAAGGGTGCCCGGCGTGCTAAATCATTTCGCTTGTGGTTTTGGTTCTTTTTCCAAACAAGAACTCCCTCTGCGACTTCGGTCCGTCCCGCCGGCCACCCGAAAATAACCGCAAACCACCCCAGCGTCTACAAACACAATCCAAGACGCTTCAAGATGGCCTCTAAGATGGTCAGGTTAGTCCAAGATGGCCTCCAAGATGGCCCAAGATGGTCTAAGTTGTCCTCCAAGACGGCCCAAGAGAGTCCAAGATGCCTTCAACTTCGTCCATGAAGCCTCCAAGACTGCCCAAGATGACTTCAAGAGGCCTCCAAGACGGCACGAGAGGCCTTGAAGAGGTCCTCCAAGGTCCTCAAGGACGGCCCGAAGAGGTCAAAATCATTGAATCTCCGTAGGTTTCTGAAGGATTATGGCTTGTGCTCCTTTTCGGATTTCGACGGCCCAAGACTGCCCAATAGGCCATCAAGATAGCCCCACGAGTGCAGCCTCCAAGACGGCCCCAGGACGGCCCAAGAGGCCCCCAAGACGGCCCCAAGACGGCCCAAGAGGCCCCCAAGAAGCCCCAGATGACCTCCAAGACTGCCAAGATGGACTCCAACATGCCTCCAAGACGGCCAAGATGGCCTCCAAGACGGCCGAGATGGCCCCAAGATGCACCTAAGACGGCCCAAAATGGCCTCAAGATGGCCTAAGACTGCCCACAAGACCAGCAAGAGGCCTCCAAGACGGCCCCAACGCCCTCCAAGACGTCCTCCAGGAAGGCCCGACAGGGTTACAATCATTTATGTCCCTCGGATGTTTGACAGATTTTGGCTTTTGCTCCTTTTCAGCTCTCCGACGGCCCAAGACTGCCAAGGAGGCCATCAAGATCGCCCCCAGAGTGCCCAAGAAGTCTTAAAGACGGCCCCAGGACTGCCCAAGAGGCCCCCAAGACGGCCTCAAGAAGGCCCCAAGACGGCCCAAGAGGTCCTCAAAGCGCCCAAGATGGCCTCCAAGACGGCCAAGATGGCCCCTAAGACGGCCCAAGAGGCTCCCAAGAAGCCCCAGATGGCCTCCAAGACTGCCAAGATGGCCTCCAACATGCCTCCAAGACGGCCAAGAAAAGCTCCAAGACAACGAATATGGCCCCACTATGCACCCAAAACGGCACCAGATGGCCTGAAGATGGCTTTCGACTGCCCAAAAGGCCCGCCAGAGGCCTCCAAGACGGCCCAAGACCCCTCCAAGACGTCCTCCAGGAGGCCCGAAAGCTCGGACGCCACCTGGTCCGATAGCTCGCCCGCCTCGGTGTTCCCCCAAGGCTTTCAACACCCACTCGGGGAACGCGTGGCCCGATAGCTTGGCCAAGCTCAAACACAACTTTCGGCCACGCAAGCGCTTCCAAAAAGGCAGGGGGCGGCGGTGATTCGCCGTCGGCGTCTTCGATAAGACGACAACTCTTACTAAACCGAGTATCAATCATAACCCGCGAACTGTACGAACAATGATACCAATGTTGATGATGCTGCTGCTGCTGATGATGGTGATGAGGAGGAGGAGGAGGAGGAGGAGGAGGAGGAGGAGGAGGAGGAGAAGAAAGAGACGATCTAAACAGAGTCTGCTGATAGCCATCCTCTGCCTCAAAATCCTGCAACGTGGGATCGCAACACCGAGGCAGCGGACACCGACACCGCCGTGCTGGAGGGAGGGCAGCGCAACGACCCGTGCAGCGGCGGGGCCCGCATGAAGGAGGGCGAGAGGATGAGGAGGCACAGCGTGGCGAATAAGTCTGTGTGATCTCTGAAAGTCTGCCCCCCCCACGACAGGGGGCATGAACGAGGGCGCAGCCCCTTCAGTAATAACCTCAATGCGGACTACTACCAGGATGAAGAAGGTTGGGAACGCGTCAACGGGGGGA